TTATTTTGGTTTTGTGTAGCGGCCATCTTGAAATTGTGCCATCTTGGCGTCAAAAAAGAATCGCCAAAAAACAAGGGGCACCCATTTGTAAACTTTTACCGATTTTATTATTTGATGCACCTCAGAGCCCTTATTTCAGTCAAAACTTAAAAAAATTCAAATACAGTCAGATACCGAAAAATCTGCCAACCTGAAATCCGTCAACTCGTGAAATCCGCGTTGCCTCTCAAAATATAAACATTCAGTTTGTAGGTTCTGGAAACCGCAACATTGAGTACAAAGTATTGAAGAAAAAATACCGAATAATGACGTCATAATTACCAAATAATAATGAGTAATAACGAAAATACCAAATTATTAACATCATGATAAAAGTTTTTTCCCCTCTATTCTACATCGAGGTAAAAATACAGACAATTCACTCAACTCTTCTTTCAAGTTCATGATTCACATTGTTGTATTTTCTGAGCTTTGTTATTTCAAGAGATTATTTAGTGCTGCCTTTTTTTTTTATTCGGATATTTTGTGGATAAATTAGGAATATTTTAAATTTCAGCCCTTTTTAATACAATGACAGATAAGAAACGCACTCATGATTTTGGCAACGTTGAAAAACGTAAACACGTTACATTGACGGTAATGCAAAAAGTGCAAAAGATGCAGGCAGGTGCTACTCCTCGGTTTACAGCAGAATCATATGGAATTGCAACACAATTGTGTATGATATACGGAAAATAAAGAAAAGCCGTTGAAATTTTACATCAAGAGTGATTCTAACACCGGAATCCGAAACCAGAAATCTTTGCATGAGGCAAAATCATCAAACCTGGATGCTGTGTACATATAATACAATGAATAATATAATCAATTTATATATGTAATAATAATTTAACACATATAATAAATTATTGCAATAATGTATATAATAATTTAATTAAATGTATCTTATTTATTTTGCATTTCGAGTCTGAATATTATGATTTATCTTTTCTGTCCTGAAATCCGCAAAATACTAAAATTCGCACAACCTCTGGTCCCAAGCTTTGTGGATTTCTGGACTTTTACTGTATTGTCCCCTTTTTTTCCCCTTCCATTGAGAAATGGTTTGTATCTGAAAATGACTTTGGAAATATTTTCCCTTCTTTCCCCATTTGTAAAGACTTATTTCGTACATAATTCTTATGATTTTGTTTTATGATGTTTTGATAATATGTGATCATAAACAAATTATTACATCATAAATTATCTATAATGTATAGGAATTTTGTCATCTCACAGTGAGAAGCCTGGTGCTCCCATCTATTGACATAGTACACTCAGTATGGTATATACCGGTCATAAAATCATATAAATAATCTTTTAATTATCAGTTCTGATTGAAAAGCAGTAAATATATAAGATTCAGCATGTTTACTTCATATATTTGCAGATTTTGAATTTTTTCTTCTCCTCCAATGGAATTTATGAATCTTCAAACATGGGAGGTATATTAATTTCATAACTGCAAAATATTGTGCATTCATAGGGTAGTGCTGCCATTTAGAATCAAAAGGAAACACTTCATATATTTGCAGATTTTGAATTTTTTCTTCTCCTCCAATGGAATTTATGAATCTTCAAACATGGGAGGTATATTAATTTCATAACTGCAAAATATTGTGCATTCATAGGGTAGTGCTGCCATTTAGAATCAAAAGGAAACACTAGAAACTTATGATTATAGCTTTTGGTATAGAAAAGTTAGCATTTTTATTAGGTTAAAAAATTGACAAACAATTTTGTTTGTCAATTTTTTAACCTAATAACCCTTGACAAAGGGGTTAACCCATTCAAGATGGCGACCCTTTGTTTAAGAAATTCCATTGGGAGGTATGAGTGTCGAAAGGAATCGGTCTGCAATGCAAGGGTTTTGCATCACTAAGCCTAACTTTAAAAAGAAAAATCAAAGAAACTGTTTAAATCCCAAAGTCATAATTTTTGGTACTGTTTTAGATTATTACTTAAGCTGTCATATATGTTGAAATGAGCATTTAATAATATTTTTTCAGTACTTTTCCGTTTTGCTGGCGCAAATCTGGCCAAGCAGACTTTATTGGCGACAACACACAAAATACACGTAAAAAATCTTAACGAATGTTAATTCTAAGAATTTTTTTATTTTGAAGGCATAAAATTTTAATATCATTTAAAATTTTGTAAAAAGACAATAAATAAAAGAAAATAAATTTATAAAAGTACATTAATTTAATAATTTACTATGCCGTTATTGTTCAGCATCCTGATTCACCAGCTCATATCACATGACCAAGTTATCTCATCTCACGTAAATTACGTTGCAAAAATCTAATTCTCTCAGTAATTATCGACATTAATCTTAAATTAAATCTTATGGAATACAAGTTTAAATGCAAGAATTATTTCAATTCGTATGAATAGCTTACTTGGTCAGAAGTTATGTAAAACCGCAGTGCTTTACTTCGCTAGTGCATTCTTCTTAGAATTGATGAATTTATGACTTTTCCTTTTCTATATTTTCGCCTTCAGGTGAGGGATGTGATTGCATCCTAATTAACTTAATTAGTGCGAATAGCTTTAGGACATAAAATTAAACTATCTGGTAAAAATTCTATGTAATTGTATTCCAGAATTGAAAGAAACAATCAATCTGATAAGAACTGGCTGCGACTTGATTCCGTTTGTTTGTACTAACGAAACAATCGGTTGTACAATTTTTGGTGACTTTATCGCCTGCGCTGGCAAAATGGAAAAGTAATATTTTTTCCTTTATTTTACATGAAAATATGTTAAACAAATTGCCTATTTTGATAAATAATTTTTGGGAGTGCTATTGAAATTATTCCAAAGTTTTAACTTACAAACATTAATAAAGTTTAAAATTAATTAAAAAAATTACAAGAAAGACTATTTACATGAAGAAGTAACAAAATCTTTCATGGAAAATACAAGGCTGATACTCAGTTTCTGATAAAATCAGTCCCGGATCTAGGGGGGGGGCAAGCCGGGGTCTGTGCCCCAGGGCGGCAACTTCTGAGGGCGCAAATTCTAAGAGTGTCGCTGAATTGTATTTGTAATGATGTCAAATTTTGATGCAACATTAGTAGTTTTAAAGCCAGATTTAAAAACCTCTTTTAAGAATATTTATTTAATTAGTTGAAACCTTTTAACGGAGCAAATACAGTCAAAAGGCGTTTATCCGGACTCGTCGGGACTTCGGCGATTCCGGATTATAGATCATCAGTTTAAATCTGGTAAAATGTGGCATGCAGAAATTATAAAATATAAAATATGAAACCGTAATTTACAAAATAAAGAACAATTATGATCTAAAGGGTATCAAAATTTACAAAAAAAAGCTTAATATTGATTTTTTTTACTTTATTAAACATTTCTTTCAATGTAACTTGTTTAAGTTGCTTCGTTTTTTATGTGATAATACATTCTCTTTAATTCTATAAACAGACATAATTTCTTGTTCAGTTACAAAGTTCCGCTGTTCAAGTCCTATAATTGCTGTGTCGAGAATACCGACTAATTTGTCAAACGAAATTTTTTCGTTTTCAATAACCTCTGTCACTTTCTTCGCTATGGGAAGCGAATTATAATGACGAAGAATTTGATTTAAATCATATCAAAAACAGAGTACATCGAGATAAAATACTACATTTAGTAAGGAATTATAAGCAAAATAAAATAAAAACATCTGCCCTGAAGATAAGGATAGTGCTGACAGATCAACTTCCAATTCATTGCACGCCACCCCGGCGTTAAAGATAAACAAAGTTTAGATAAACAAACGTTAAAGTTTAGATAAACAAAGGATATGCCTTTATCCATTTTTTGCAGCAATTCCACTTTTTGTTTAATGGACTCCGAAAGATACTTTCGCTTTGTATATCTTTTACATATTAGTAAATATATATCGGAAATTCTATTTGACATAATCGAAAGTTCAAGCTTTACTTTTTATAAAATTGCTCTAACAGTCTGCAAAAAAATAATAATCCGGAATCCAATTCTTAAGATTAAGGAACAACGGAACTCTGCATCATTAACTGTAAAATAGCCTTAGAATTAGATAATTTTAGCTTAGCTGATCCCGTCCGTTATACATTAAACGCGCATTCGTAAACGTATTTTGCGCACGCGCACACGCAAATTCGCAGCGGTAAAGGCGCGATGCATGCACAGAAAGTTTGTAGCTTTGAGGTCCGGATTATGGGTGTCCGAATTAACGACTTTTGACTGTAGTTTTAAAAGTAAGCTAAGTACAGCTGAACGCGACTCTAAAGATCAGATCAGGGAGAGGACAATAGAAGGACTTCAGGCGTCACTGAAAAAGTCAAAGGACCCTGTCCCTCTGCCGACCCAACATGTTACAAAGGTACTCCCTAGACGCCTTGGTCTTTGATCCCTGTAAGTGACGATAGAGTAAAGAATCTATATATCTTTCCCTTCAACTTCTTTGCCTCTCTGTTGTCCTCTCTCCTGGCGGGAATATTCAAATGAAAAACAGAATTTTTACATAAAGGCATGCCTTGTTTTTATACCAACGCCTCTTGCAAAATAAATGCAGAAGCATTGTAAATTGTAACTCTTTCCTAACACCCAATACAAATTAACCTTGGACCAATGAAATAATTCAAATTAATGTACATCGAGAATATACAACAGAAATGAAATAAAGTATTTTGATTTTTTACAGCCAGTCAGCAACCTAGGTTTTAAAAATGGATTTATTATTTTTATACTTTTAAAAGTTTTTTTTAGTTTTTTTAATCTGGAGGATTTTTTGTTGTCTCATTTTCTTTTAATATGCCTGCTTCGAGTATTCCTCACTGTATTTAGCGAGACGCAACCATTTAGTTAGCGCGCGCGTCTGTGACGCGGCCTTAATATTGTTTAATTTAATTATGTCAATGTTTAGCTTTTCTTATTAAGGCAAGTTATACTGTATATTATTTAGGGTGCCAGAAACCATGAGAGGGTCTAGGAAAACACTCTCAGGGGCAGAATCTAGAACCAGAGCAAAAGATAGGACCAAACAGAGAAAACAAATTGCAGCTAAAATGAAAAATGGCTTCATGGAAAAGACGAACCGTCAGACACTGCCGCAACCTCCGATAGTGCAGAGATTCTAAACGATATTGATATTTCTTGCAATTTGCATGACCAAAATGAAGAATCTTCATCTATCATCTTCAAACAGACTTCATGTCAACAACGGAGATAACAGTTTTCTTAATAGACCCCAAATTGAACATCTAGAGACATGAAATTAGAATATAATGTATTTTCTCATTTAGGTGAGCATGGGCAGCAGAAAGAAGACTTAAAATCTCTTGATTTGTCGGCCCTCAGGGGGCTCACTTTTGTGAGTACGGGTGTGGCAATCCCGAGGTACCCTAGCCCTTCAGGGGATCATCTTCTTGATGAGATGGGTGTCACGATCCTGGAGCCCCAGTGATCTATTCTCTTTTCCGTCTCCTCTCACTTGGCCGGAACTTTTTCCCTTCCCTTCTCCCTTGTGGTTTCTCTCTACGGAGTTGGGGTCGTCACGAGAGGCTGGAACAGACCTTGTTTCTAGTTTTCGAGAGTGGCGAGAAAAAAACTGCCCACGTGTTTGCCGTGCGTGGAGACCCGTGTCGCTGGAAAGGAGGGTCCTGGTAGTGAGGGGCGAGGTACTGTCCCCAACACACTACTTTGGCCTCTGCTTCAGCTAAACGGGAGGCCCTTAGTCGTCCTCACGGGTGTCAATCGGCTGGTCACTAGTCCTTGTGTCAGTGGCTTGGGGTCAAGCTCTCGGGAGTACCTGCTTTCGGGAAAGCCGACTGTGGGGCTTCAGTTTGCGTATAGGTCCGGCTAGCCCTAACACAGGAATCTGTGTTCCCTTGTAGGGCTCCGTGGTGGGCGGGCCGTCGGACCCGAATTTTTTCTCTTTTAAACATGGCTTCAATTTTCATACTAAAAAAACCTGACCCAAACGAAATTAAACAAGATATAGAAATAATTGAGAAACCTATTAGTAAGAAAATCCGTACTGATGTAAATGCAAAGGAAACTACTGAAAATCTGCGCTTCCTAGTTGTCTCTTGTCTTCTGGTGAACTGCAAAAGATGTCTCCTTTTTAGTAAGCAAATACATTAACTCATGCATAGGTCAGCCAAAGAATATTAAGCGTCTCCGTTCTGGAGACCTGCTTATAGATACTGTTTCGCCAACACAATCTGCTTCCCTTTTGTCACAAACCAAACTTGGAAATGTAGCTATAACTGTGTCAGCGCATAAAACTCTGAATTTTTGTAGAGGTGTTATCTCGGAAATCGACATTCTCTCTGTTTCAGAAGAAGAGTTCGTTTCCGAGTTAGCTGACCAAAATGTCTGTGGCGCTAGGCGGATCAAGATGTGTAAGGAAGGTCAGTTGATTGACACCAAACACGTGATCCTGACCTTCAAATTTTTCTGATCTGCTGAAGAATATTAAGGCTGGATACCTCAAATTGTCCCCGTAAGATCCATTACATTCCAAAACCCTATGCGATGTTTCCAGTGCCAGCGTTTTGGCCATTCGAAGATCTCCTGTCGTGGGACTGACGTGCGCTCGGTGTTCGTCGGTTGGCCATGATAGCGAAAATTGCACAGCTGCAGCACTGTGTATTAATTGCAAGGGCAACCGTCCAAGCATTTTCCCGTTCCTGTCCAAAATGAAAATTTGAAAAGGATGTTCAGACCATAAAAGTTTCTATGAAACATTTCCTATATGCCGAAGCCAGGAAGACAAGTTCAAAGCACGCAGCCTCAATCAAATAAATCATATGCCAATGCCGTGAAATCAACCCGCACTATAGCCACCCAAACTTCCATAAGTACACAGACTCCACCAAATAAAAACCCAGCAATCTGCAAACAAGAAAAAGGAAAATGCAACACATGTCGTACAAAATAAAGAAATAGTATTCAAAGCACACCAAAACATATCCCTCCAAAACCACTTAACAAAAAATAGAAAGTCCCAGCAATAGTTCTGTAAATGAAACGATTTCTGAATCCGCAGATTCAGATAGTATGGACGTGGAAGACAGTCTAGAAGTTCCCGAACATCTGCTTCCGCGAAAACTAAAAAGGAACACAGAAAGAACAAACATCAAACATAATGGCCACCCTCGTCTCATGGAACTGTCGCGGTTTCCACCGAAATTACTTGACATCAAAGCTATGATCAATGCGTATCATCCTGTGTGCTTGGCAATACAAGAGACAAATCTGAAACCAGATCAACATGCAAAACTTCGGAGGTTTTCTCTCGTCAGGAAGGATAACCTTGCAGGTGAACGTGCCAGTGGAGGTGTATGTCTCCTTATCTCACTGGACTATCCCTCAAGTTCCTTTTATTTGACGACATCTCTCCAAGTTGTCGCTGTACAAGTAAATTTTCATATTGTAGTTTCAGTCGTTTCTCTTTATTTGCCTCCTAACGAACACATTGATCAGCGGGATTTAAATGACCTTGTGGCTCAGCTGCCTGAGCCTTTTATCATAATGGGTGATTTTAATGGCCATAGTCCGTTGTGGGGAAGCAAAGACACCAACTCACGAGGAAGACAAATTGAGCAGGTAATTGAAGACCATTGCCTTTGTCTCCTGAATAATGGGCAGGACACTTACTTCCATGAACCTACAAGGACATTCCACGCTCTTGATCTAGCCATCTGTTCACCATCTCTCTTGCCATTTTGCGATTTCAGTGTCGGAAGTGATCTGTTTAACAGCGATCATTATCCCATTCTTTTATATCTTGCACGAAGAGGAGCGAACCCCACGTCGAGACTCCCTCGGTTTATACTGGATAGGGCAGACTGGGAACTCTTCTCTTCCTCTGCAGATCTCACACAGAAAATGGTAGAAGATGTGCTTATCGATGATGCAGTGGAAGCAGTTACAACTGCTATTGCTCAGGCAGCTATGCTCTCCATTCCTAGAACATCAGGAAAAATAATAAAATATTCGAAACCGTGGTGGAATCGTGACTGTCATGAAGCACTGAAAAAACAGAAAAAAGCATGGGGTATTTTTCGTAGATATCCTACTCTGCGAAACCTCATAGCCTTTAAAAGAGCCAAAGCAAATGCACGAAAAGTAAGAAGGCAGAGCCAGAGGGATTCCTGGATTTCATATGTGTCCTCAATAACATCTTCTACGCCTAGTAAGCGGGTTTGGGAAAGAGTTCAAAAAGCATGCGGAATGTATAAAGACCACTCACTTTCCTTTCTGGAAAAAGATGGCCGAGTGATTAGCTCCATAGAAGAAATTGCAAATACTATTGGTGAGACATTTGCTGCCGTTTCTTCAAGCAAAAACTATTCACCTGCATTTCTCTCTATCAAGCAACACTCTGAAATAAATCCCATCGCATTCAACTCTTCCAAATCTGAGCCTTACAATAGAGACTTTACTATGGTGGAATTAAAGAGAGCTTTATTGCAGACACATAGGTCTTCTCCGGGTCTTGATGGCGTGAATTACGAAATGCTAAAGCATCTGTCCTATAAGTCACTGAATGCCCTTCTCACTCTTTACAATAGGGTGTGGAAGGAGCGTACCTTTCCCAGTGCATGGAGGAGAGCTGTTGTCATTCCTATTGCTAAGCCAGGGAAAGATCCAAGGAATCCCTCCAACTATCGGCCATTGCCCTACGAGTTGCCTCTGCAAACTGTTTGAAAAGATGGTAAACAGCCCCGCCTAGTCTACTTCTTGGAAAAAAATAATATTATATCACCTTATCAAAGCGGTTTTCGAAAAGGGGAGACAACCGTAGATAACATGCTCCTCTTAGAGACATCCATTCGAAAAGCTTTGGTAAGAAAAAAATCACCTTGTCTCAATTTTCTTCGATATAGAGAAAGCTTATGATAAGGCATGGAGATACGGTATACTTTGCGATCTTCACGAGAGTGGCTTGCGCGGCAACCTACCAATTTCATTCAGAATTTCCTGAACGCTAGAACTTTTCAAGTAAGAATTGGCTCTGTTTTTTCGGATGTTTTTCAACAGGAAGAGGGTGTGCCTCAAGGCTGTGTGCTTAGTGTAACCCTGTTTAGTTTAAAAATAAACTCAGTACTAAAAGAACTTCCTTCCACCATCTTGGGATCTCTATATGTTGATGATCTGCAGATTAGCTGTCGAGGGGCAGACATGAGATACGTAGAGAGGCAGTTGCAGATAGCTCTGAATAAGATCCAAGAATGGTCAAACAAACAGGGATTTACTTTTCCAAACAAAAAACTGTGTGTGTGCACTTTTGTAGAAAGCGAGGTCTCCATCCTGAACCTGAGTTATATCTCAATGGTTCAATTATTCCAGTTGCGCCCGAAGTAAAATTTTTAGGAGTGATGTTCGACCGAAAATTGACTTTCCTTTCTCATGTTTTAAAACCTGAGAAAGAAGTGTCAAGAACACTAAATATTTTAAAAGTGTTGGCGAAAACCTCCTGGGGTGCAGAGCGTTGCTCCATGCTTCGCATTTACAGAGCCCTTGTTTGCTCTAGACTGGACTATGGCTCAGTTTTACGGATCCGCTCGGTCATCAGTTTTGTTAAAAACTCGATCCTGTTCACCATCAAGCTCTGCGGATTTGTTCAGGAGCTTTCAGAACTTCTCCTGTCCAGAGCCTGTATGTTGACTCTAACGAACCAGCACTTTATCTGAGGCGTGAGCAATGGTCCCTATTGCAATATTTTAATATCCTATCACAACCTGAACATCCCAATAAACTGTACTTACTTGATGATGTGTGTAACACTTTATTTGAAACACGTCCATCCTGTGTTCCTACCTTTCCTTTAAGAGTTCGCCCTATCATTGAGGAACTTTCCCTCTCTGATATGCGCCCCCAAGCAGTACAGAATTTTGAATTCCCACCTTGGGAAAATGCACAGATTCAGCTTCTTGATGTTTTCAAGCATCACGTCAAGGCAAGCACCAATGACATCATTATAGACAACTCTCTTTGCTGAGCACAGGCACAAATAGCAGTTATTTCCAGTTTATACAGATGGATCCAAATCAAAAGATCATGTCGGGATGGCCCATTGTAATTCAAGACCACAGGAGGGCAGACGCTTGCACCATGCCTCCTCTGTCTTAACATCTGAGTTAACTGCAATATTATTGTCTTTGTACATCTTAGGCTCTGCCACAAAAAGTTTATAGTTTATACAGACTGCTATAGTGCACTGAAATCTTTAGAAGCTTTTCTAACACTCAAAAACCCAGTCATAGTGGATGGTCCTCAAGATTCATATAAACCC